CACGATCTTCCACAGATCAAGCATCACTTCATGACGCTATCACTACCCGTGAAGCTACACTCCCTGGAACAATCATGGAAGTGGATCACATGGCCCTAAAAGGATTACTATGTTCCGAATACCAAACAGGGGGTCATCACTCCCCTGCTGGGGTCCAGTCGTACCGAACCTCAGGTACGATGATGTGTTCGACCATTGATGATTCGGCACCTGGGTCGGGCCCAGTCGTACCGAACCTGAGGTAAGGTGGCAATGGATCCCTAGGGCTCCACTTCCATGAACATGTCGGCAAGTGCATTGCATCACCGAAGCCACTGCCCTCACAGGTCCGCTGCTGCACCTGCGCGCCACTCGCGTCTCGGGAGCGGCCCAAGCGCAGGGCTGCGCGGGTGATGTTCCGCTGAAGGTCCTCGTCCAGCAAACGAGCCTCAGTCCGAGCCACGGAGGAGCTCAGTGCTTGAGTTCCAGTGCCTGGAATCGCAACTCTTGGACCCCAGGACCATCCAACCCCAAAACGTAGGGATTCGGGCCAGCAATCGGACCGGGGCCTCAAATCCGTATGCCCTGGGAGCCGTTTTTGGGGTTTGCAGCGTCTGGGTGGATGAAAGTGGCCCCAGAATGTGCCAACTAAGCGGTGTTTTTCCTGACAGCTTGTTGGAGGCCGGAGCAGTGTGCTTTCGAAACACATCAAGCGACATATTCTGGGAGGGGTTATTTGATCGGCCGCCTGGCTGCAAGAATCACGGAAGTGGACAATGGATTTCTCTATTTTGACTTCCGTCTTTGCCGGTCATCCCTCACTCGAGCAAGAAAGGACCGAAATCACCCGGCTCGGAGGTTGCCTCTTATGGATGCCTTTCGAATCAGTCGCAGGAAGTCATCCAGAGTTGGTTGGTGGTACAGGAGCATGTCGAACTCAGGGTGTTCCTTTCGTTCCCTGCCGCGGCAGGAAAAACGCTTCCACGAGCCAAAACGTCCCTGTGAGCAACCACATCTTCAACTCTGAACATGTCTTCAACATATGTTGGCCACTCATGCTCCAATTTGAAGCAGCATCAGCTGACCCAGTCATGAGAGCAAAATGCCTAGGTGCTGTTGAGTAGGCCCAGCACAAGGAGAAGAGATGGATCGGCAAAAAATCATCTAGACCTGGATCAGCGGCAAATCAGGTTCATCCGGGCCTTCAAGAGGGCTACAGAATAAAATTGGCTAGGGACGTCAAGAGCAAGATTACTTTGCAAACATTCAGGAGAAGTAACACTCCTCATCGTTTGTAAGACCTGTCATCGTTGATCTATAAGCCTCTCTCCCCCCAGCCTCCTCAAACTGAATGGTGCCGAAGAAATGGGCTTTCTCCACAGTGCCCTGTGCTGGGCCCCAAATGAAGCTCAAAAACCCACGCGTGCGCGTGCGCAACGTGTGTACACACTGACCGGTGGCCCAGGCACGTCGCAGTGCCTCGCCCCGCAGCGTCTCGAAGAGTTCCGAGACCTCTGGAGGGATCTCTGCCTGGCAGCTGAATCCACTGCAAGTGTCCATCTCTCTCTCAGCATTCTTGCGTTTCCTTTCAGTTTTCGTCTGCACTTTCGGTTTTCTTCTGCACTTGCTGTAGGCCATCGAAGGCTACCAAACCTACTGGTGTGCTAGGAAAAATTGTGAATATATATATATAATATATATATATATATTGGCTCCGTGCATCTGCTTGAAAACGGTTTCTCCATCCGTGTCAAACATATTCAAACATGAGATTTCAAGTGCCAAGTCTGTTACTTTCTGCACCACGTCACCAGAAGCTGGTGAAAAGCCCAGGCTACAACACCTTGCTTGAAATCCACGAGCTGCTTTGGCTTCCCACCAAGTGATGAGCTTGAAACCGCCTAACATCCACACACACACATGACCACGTAGCACCAGGTGGGACGGTGGGTTGCAATGAACGCTTGGCTCAAGACTTCCGACTGCGGCAAAAAACTATAGTTAATCATCATATCATCATGAAAGTGGATTACCACCTGTTGCCCCCCCCAAAAAAGGAAATTATGTCATCCTTTTGGGGAAACATGCGATGCACTTAATCATCATGGTTCCGAGTGCTTCTGCCTCAAGTCCACGAATCCAATGGAAACTTCACACAAAAGGACTATATAGACTAAGTGACCAGCACCCCGGCAAGACCGGAGAGCTCTCCCTGGACTCGTTGAAGATGACTTAGACTTCAATGACTTTGTTTTTGTTTTCGGGCTTTCTCCCAAAAGAAGGGTCAAGCTCCCCACGCTAAAATTTAAACTCACTCACTAACCCACGAACTCCATCTCTGCCTCTTGAAACGCCTGGGGCGGACTCTCCGTCTCAGGCTGTTGGACAACAGCCTGCACCTGGTGTGTGGAGTTTGAATGCCATATAATATGACAGAAAGCTGAATGCACTTGGACACACACTTGAACATTGTGTCTATTGAATTTGGGCCGCGGGAAAGCATGATAAAGCAACACATGAGTTCCGCCAGGGGTGGAATTTGAGCAGCTATCGGCCTGAACACCCTCATCTGACGGTCCATACGCTTGGAGATATTGGAGCTATGCTATGAGAAAAAACACCTTACGATGCTTAGGCCACCAAGTAAGGGAACCTCTGAAGGCTAGTGGACCTTAGATCTAACCCAAATCATCCTAAATCCAACCTCTGAAGGTTACATCAACTATGGCAGGCCGAACCTAACATGATCAGATCGCCAAGGGAGAAAAACCAAAGATTCCGAAGAACATGCACCTGGCTCTCTGCGGTGGAAGAACATCTCCCCGTCCAGCCAGCGTGAGACCCTTCTGCCTGGCCGGCGGGGCATCACGGCAGCCGGAGCCCTGCAATGCACAGCAGCAGTTTGGAGGAAAAAGAACCTCTTCATGTAGACTCAAGTATTGTAACCTCATAGGGGGGTTGAAACGGTTGAAATATGACTTAAATATCTACTGTGTAAGCTCAAATCATTCGGTGTTGGATCCAACTGATCCAATCAGTTTGGGGAGCACTGAATTGCAGTGGAAGTGAAGCTCACTTACTCCATGACGACCTGATGAAACTGCATGTCTCTCGGTGCGGGGAAAGGGGTCCCTGCATCTCCCAAAGCGTCTGGTCCCGAGCTCATGTGCCAGCATGTTGTCACACCGATGGATCAGCTTGCCGAAGCCACAGTCCATGACATGCTCCTGGAAAAGGAAAGCCACCTGTTTGGTATTCGGAGAATGGATTTTCCTTTGTGGATACCTGTTGATCCTCTGGTACCCCACAGACGTGGAAGGGCCTATAGACAGAGCGGACCTTGGACAGTTCGCAAGTGGAGCTTGGTCATCCAAAAGGCCATTTGCCACGTAACCATGATTCTTTCAGGGAGTGTAATGGTCTTCCTAATGGTCTTCCTCTGCGGGTGTTTCAATCGCAAGTTGTGGTACACTGTATACGCATTCAAACTAACAGCATACAGCAACTAACAGGGAGCAAGTCCAGGTACAGGACCACCTAATCCTGAGCACAAAGACTGGTTTTGCCGTCCATCTTCGTAGGAACTACCCCCCACCTTGCTGCGCAGGCAGTGCAGGCCGCGCGCACTGGCCGTGTGCCAGTTCAACGCTCTATGGCGGGTGCCCAATGCCACGGCAGCTCGCCATGGTATCATCAGAATGCGTTCGCGCAGTGGGTTGAAGAGGGTTTCCCACTCTCAGCTGTGGGGTATTTTGTGCGTCAGCGCCTGGCTTCATCGTCTTCATGGTCCATGTTTCAAAGGAGATGGTGGGCGAACCCCCGGAGGTGAAGACATCCAAACATGGATTGGAGGGCACGAACATCCGACGTTTGGGATGTTTGAGGGTGGGTTTGAACATCTTTGAGTGGTGTTTTCTGTATACTTGCGCCCATCAGAAACCTAAAAACATCTGGGAACATGTCTATAAGGGTTTCTGCAGTTGAATCAGGGTGAAATGAAACTCGAACTCCTGCCAGGTCAACATGGCCACCCTGAAGGGTCCCGATCGGTTTCAAGAAATGGGTGTCCAGTTCTCAACCCCTGCCGCAGTTCTCCAGGGTGTCGGAACAAGCGCAGGGTCTCACAGCCAAACTAATCAAGCAGTCTTGTGAATACCAGGAATTAGTGATCCACAGGACCGAGAGTCCCCTCATGTAGGGGGGCCAAGCACTTGCAGAAAGACGTTGTATCTTATATATATATATATATCCAAACATGGCTAACACACATGTCATACTGTTGTTTCAATCTGAGGAGCTCCCGCTTGCCCAATCAAAGGGGGTGGTATCTGTTCTGAAGGCCTAGGCCGCATAGGCAGCCCAAGCATCCCACAGCTCTATCCGTATCCAGAGCCAGGCGGCGTCCGACAAACCAAATGACCCAATATGACGCAATCACATGGTGGTTTGGAAAATAGGACATCATCCAGCACCAAAGGGCACCAAAAGAGAGTACCATCGAACACCACCCACTCTTCAAGGGACGGTTTGTCGGTTTGTCCAAGTCTTAGGTTCTTGATGGTTCTTGGGTCTGACCAATTTTGAGCCCCTGAGAAATGCTCCACCCAACTCCGGAGCGATCTACGAAATAACATGGCTACTTGATCTAAGCTATCAAACCCCGGCTTGATGTCGGGTGCGCCCACTACAGCAGTACCCCATGGAAGCTGGCCTGCTCGCACATCAACGCCTCAAACTTCACCAAAAACGATACTTCAAAGCCAGTAGCAAGTAGCTCACTATGCTTCACTATGCTATGACTTATAATATGCTATATACTTGGCGTCAGTAGCTCTACTCATGCCTCTCATGCCGCGTCAGAATTCGTCAAACAGGTCCAAAGACTCCAAAACCACCCCACTGGCAAGTGTCTCAGTGTCAGGGGCAGGTGTCTCACACCTGAACTCAACGTCAAACCGCCCTCCCAGTTCAGGTCAGACCTTTCTGCCCAGAGGAGCGGTCTAGCCGCTTGGCCCAGTGACTCGGAGTTCACCTCTCGACTGTGCTTGGGCTTCACCACGCACACCTTCTCAAAGAGCCGTGCCGCCTCGAAAAACGGAAAGACATGTCGATCAGATCGACGGCCCGGCGACGGCGACTGGGGGAGTTGGGTGGATTTCCCAGGCAGCTGAATGGCAGTGGACATGGCCCAACTTGAATGCAACATCTCCCTTTAAATTCATGAGACTTGTATAGACTTATATAGTAAGGCCACCCCTGGCCCATACCTTGATAGTGTATGAGGTGGGTGAATCTGCTCTAAGCCTCTAAGCGCACCAAGATTGACGTGGGAAGTCGAGCCAAGCATGCTTCTTCAAGACATAAAAACGAAACGGGGAACGTATTGCCCATACATGGGGCCCATATGGGGCCATTGGGTTCTAGTCTACTCTTGTAGGCCATTCATTCCATGACAAGCGGGAGAAGTCCACATCACCCAAGAATTCCTGATGATCTGGCCAGATCTTCTTCAAGTCTCCTTACGGTAAGGAGATGTAGAGCTCAGTGCACAGCTCCTTACTGGCTCAAAGGATCCAGGTTCCAACGCTCCCCTTCGCCCATCTCCATCTGCGACCCCCGACGATGAAGAGTAAACTGCAGCTCACCTGGGAGAGTGGCTCGCCGCATGCTCTGGCTCGGCTGCAGCGCTGCAGACCGTGGGGACTCGGTCGCTTGGAGCCCAGATCGGGAGACCCAGTCAACCACCGTCGACCCCGTGTCCCAGGCCGGTGGCGGAGCGGTTTCAGCGGAGGCAACGGCAGGAAGCCTCTGCCTCTGAGAGTGGACGGAGGCGTCCCAAGGCCAAGAACGAGCTTGGCTTGGCCCTAAAGGTAGGTGGCAAAGACACTGAAAATGAGGCCTTGAAGAAACATCATAGACCCAGAATCATTTTCACGAGGAGCCAATATGTGATGATATGTGCCTCTCACCCGCCAGGGGCACATCCTTCCACATCGTCCACAGCTCAACGGCGCTCGACCTCACTTGGCGAACTGAGCCTCCCCGACCTCTGTGAATGTATCAAAGAACTTGCAAATAAAGCAAGCGCCTGCGCATGGAAAACGTGGAGCAATGAAGAAAACTCACCCCCAGCTTCTTCAAAGTGACCTTTTTTGGAGTTCCTACTACTGTAAGTGGCTTGTTCAGGCCCAAGTGACCTCAATGAGATATCAAATTGGTCACTTTGAAGAACCAGTTCCATGGTCAATGGCATGGAAAGCACTGAAGGACATACTCCCAACATGCACAGAATGGGAGTGGAAAAACACGGGATGCCGTCCCTCCGGGAATAACACTGCTGGACTCACCCCTGGCATTCCCCCAGTACAGAATATCTCACCAAACGCTGTGCTTCAGAATTGGATCCCCAAAGCCACTGACCCCAACAACCTCATGGTGTCTTTGTTGCAGAAGAGCAGCAAACCGAATAATAGCCAACAAACCGGTCCGAACATATTGGTCGGCCTTTTTTCGGTGGATTATCATTAAGAAAGAAGACATCCCCCTGCCCTTCTTGGCCTCCAGATCCACGCCCTGAGACTTCCGGGCTGGAAAGCACGACGATAACCCCCCATAGCTGCGGCCCTCAGCGGCGACCGGTTGGAGGGTCTCCTCTGTTAAACGCAGATGTCGGCGCAAATGACTTGGTCAGAATTCGTTCGCCCACACCAGACTCGCCCACAAGAACCCCACAATTCACCCGAAAACCATCTCCCACGCGATGGAATATGGAGCATCATGGAGTACGTATCTAGCAACAAGAAGCTACGTTCGGGGCTCCTGGCCTTGCTACTAGGAGCAAGGACGCTACTAGGGGCTCCTGGCATCGCTACTAGTATCAAATTGGAGTTCCCCCCCAAAGATTGGAGTGGACTTCTCGCCGGCCTTCTCGCAGGGTCTCCAAAGCAAAACGCACCTGGCTTGCACTTTGCTGTCCGCGTGTTGCGCATGTCCGCGGAAGCTAACATTTCCGCATTCCGTGGTTGGGCAGGCTGAACTGCGATTCGACCGATGTGCCTCACAAAGTGCAAAAATGCAACAAAGAGATACTAACCAACAGTCACAAGAGTTTCTCACTTAGGGACCAAACACCACCCCTTTGTGACTCCTGGAGTAGTTGGTTTTTGCACATTTGGATTGGCCACCGCCTCCGTGATATAAGACCGAAAACGACTCGACATGAGACAATTCATCTGTCGTTTCCACGAAAGCCGGCGCTTTTTGCTTTTTCGACACGACTGAAGCAAAGCGTGACACTCTTTTTCGCATCTTCTCGTCGAAAGGTGATGAACACCTGCTTAGTGGACCCAGTGCTACACCTTTGGCAGACCTCCCAGAAGTGGACCTGCGCATTGTTTTCTCCTCTCTCTCTCTCTCTGCGTCCCCAACACCTGCAGCGCAGTGAAACCTTGAAATCGCAACATCTCAGAAAATTGCTGCTCCATTTTCCTAGAACATCCCATCCCCAGCGCATTAACAATGCATATACCAGTCCCGGTTTGGGACCCTCAAGCCGCATCAAATGACGTTCCATGAAAAGTGCCCTGTTCCTTACGAATGGTCTCATCATCCACACGAATTGAGCGGATCTGCCAGTCGAAGCCAGGTCCACTGGCACCACATGGCACCACATTGAAAAAAATTACAGCCTCCACTGACGTGGACGGCAACAACCCCCCAAACAGGAGCAGCCTGGACGGAGGGGTTGTTGACCGTGCGGACAGGTCGACAGCAGCTAGCTGAGGGCAGAAGACTCTCAGCAGCCACCTGTAAAAGTGACCAGCCCCATAAGAATCGGATAAATTGTGCAACAGGAGTTGCCAGTCCTAAAGGACGCCATTACTAGATCTCATATGACCTCATGCTGCCCCGGCCCAGCCAGCCTAGACTAGACTTGATGAGAATCCATTGCTGGTGTCTGATAGGTGTCGCTCTCATACGGTTGCCAAACAATAAAACAAAGCAAACAAGTACTCAAGCTGTGCAGTGCCAAAGCAACAACTACGTATAAGTGGTGGATATCCGTCTGGATCAAAGGTACTGGTTGAAACGCTGCAGAATGGCACAGGTTTGAAAGAAGCAAACATTTGACGTTGTCATGATGTGTCCGGAGCAAACACTTGCCACCTACTGATGATATGTAGATCATGTAGATCTAGAACATTCTAGAACTCTAGAACATTCAATCGCAGGTCTAACAGCTACTTAAGTGCTGTAGCTGGTCTCATTGTGCTCACTGTCCGATGACCTAAGCCATGAACCGATAGCATGGCGCTCGTAAGGACTGCCAATCCAGTCGCCCCAAAATGTCCAGCTTCGACGGTGGCGTCGTTCGCATGAGGAAACCTGAATGCCGAAGGGAAAGGCCTTGACTCATAAAGCGAGATGCACGGGCGAGCTCTTCAGAATGTTGCTGCGCCATACGAGCACTAGATTCACTAGATCGTCTAAGTAGGATATTGGCACGCTTGGCAGTTTGGCAGGACCAAGATTTTTTCTTTAAACAACAACAACTGCAGGGTCATTTATCTGGCTTCCAAGTTCCGTGAGGGAAACTCATACATCGAGAATGAACACCCGAGGCGAAACCCAGCCGTTGGCAACGTATAAGGTTGGTTTCTTGAGAGCATAGTGGTTCTTCGTCGCACCTTTCCTGCCGGCTCCACCGGCAAATGATAGGACCAAGGTCCGCGTTCCTTCCCACTACCACTGGGTGCATCTCTCCATGCATCTCGAGTCTTAAGGCCTCAATGGCTCTCACTGCGCCAGCTGCGCCACATCCTCCGCCACCTGTGGGGCGGCATCAACCACCTGGGCAGCAACCTCCACCACGGGTGCAGAGACCTGGGCGCACAAAAGCAGCAGCGGTGACTGGCGACCTCGGAAGCACCTCTGGGAGCCTTGAGAAGAGGAAGAGGCCCGCAACAATCCATTTCCCAAACACTCCATGTATGGCCCAAACCGGCCCAAACACTCCATGTATGCCGATCAGTTGGGGCGGTTTGGGGGATCAATGTAGGCATATAATACATGGAGTGTCTGGGTATGGTATATATATATAAATAAATACCTACATTGATCCCTTTTCAACCGCCCAAATGTGTGTTTAAATATGCCAGTTCCATTGAATTTATGGGGGTTGATGTATCTTGATTCGCAACACACCTGATCACACTGTTGTGTGCAGCGACCGAGGCCACGGCGGCCGCGGCGGCCTTGGCGGCTGACTTGAAGGACAACTGCTGAATGGCGTCCTCCGTGCCGCTGGGGCGACGCAGGACGCAACTGGTTGCGTGCTGAAATGCCGGGTTGATGGTGGCCACCCAGAACCACCCAAAAAAACCCTGATGTTTTGAGACTTCAAGATGAGATGGAGCCCCTAAAGTGGTCCAGCTCCGTGTGTTGTTCCGAAGTCGAAGTGAGGCTTTTGGAGCCCTGCTTGGCGGCCTCTCTGGATCGATTGAACGGAACCTATAGAAACAGCCGTTAAGCTGCAACTCCTGTTTTGGGCCGCGAGCTGCGAAGGTAAGTCTACATGACATCCTACTATGTGCAAGGTACAAAGTGTACATATTACATGGAGTGAAAATACACCCCCCTCAGCTAAGGTAGCTTTGCTCCCGAAGCTGGACGCGGAAAGTGCACGAGGGCTTGTGCAGGGCACGACAGTGATGTCGGCTCAAAGCTGCATGGCAGTTGTGGATGCTAGCAATCCACTGCCTACGTGGCCCTGTACGTGCATTTTAATTATTCACTCCCCGCCGCCAAAAGAAATTGAAAGTTTGGACTTGGGAGGAAAACCGCATACATATTGACAATGGATGTCATGCAATGAATTATGCTCGCTCAGGCAAAAGGTTGAGACTTGGCTCAACTAACGCCAATGCCACTGGCTCCGACTCGAGCTCCAGTCCCACGAACGGCGGTCCCACTGCCGCTGCTCGCCCCACTCGCTCCAGTTCCATGAGCTCCATCCCCACGAGGACGATGCTGATCCGGATGCACGTGGGCTCACCGGTGAGGGTGGCGGACCTCCCTTTGCCTTTGAAGCTGGGGTTCCATCACCTCCGGTAGAGGACTTGCGCTTGCCCTTGCTCTGCTGCTGGCGCTGCTCTTGAGTCTGCTTGTTGACCACATCACGCCTGGCAGCGGAGAGGTTGTCATGGCATAGCTGGCGAAGCTCCTCCATTGCGCAATATTGGCTCATCTGATGCACGCCGTCCCAAGCCAAAAGGCCACGATGGGAGTCAGGTGAGTTGATGTACTCGATGTACTCACGCAAGGAGAGGATGTTTGTGCGATAGATCACGCACCATTGCTCTGGAATGTAATCCATAGCTTGTGGATAGCGATTGGGCGCTACGTCGATGTAGGCCAGCCGTGCCAGAGAATGATCTTCGTCATATCCAAGGCCCAGGCTGACTTGCGCTTTGTTGCGCGGCGGGTTCGCCAAGTGAACATGGCAAAGCCAATCCTGCCGCTGCGCTGCCCGATAGTCATAGCCCATTTGCAGCATTCGTTCCATGAACTGGACGTCATGCTCGAAGCGATCCTCGATGCTCTGGAAGCCACACTTGTCTGCACGCTTCATCCGGCTGCGAGCGTCTTGGATCATGATTGCTTCTGGGCTCATGTTTCCACGGCCGCTTGCAGACACCACACGCAGATTGAGGCCAGCCTTGATGTAGTCGCTGACTGGGCACTCAGTGCGAGCGAGGCCGGCCCTCGCAAGCTGCTGCTTTCGGAGAACTGAAAGTCTGGTGACCGCTTCCTCCGGCAGCTCGGTGTTGGTGGCAAGTTCGGCCGAGCAAATGTCACAGTGGGTCATGCCCCTGAGGACTAGACCCTTGCACTGGCTGCATTCGACCTGGATCACCGTCAGCTTCCGTCCCTTTCGAAGCGTCGGGGCGGTGATCGGTGCATCAAAGCCAGGTGGTGGCCCCGCAGGCTCAGGCGGAGCGTGCCCGCTGTAAGATGCTGCAGGTCGATCTTGCTCTGCCTCATTCGCAATGGAAGTTGGTGGAGTCGAAGGTGCAGCCTTGCTTGCAGGTGCCGATTTGCTGGTTGCAGTCAGGGAAACAGGCATTGCTTTTGCGGTTGGCCGGGGCTCGCCAGTGATGGCGGCCCGGCTCTCACCTCCATCCGCTGGAGCAGCCTCAGGTAGGCCAACGGCACTTACCCTGGTCCAGAGTGTGGACTGGCTTTCGGTGTTTTCGACGGAGACAATGTATTCTGGAGGTACCGTGTCAACCGTCATGATCCCACCGGAGCGGTTCTGGAAAAAGATGAGACCGCCATTGACTGCTTCCCGAAGTGCAACGGTAAGCCGAATGGGGTGCTTACCGCGGAGACCGCTTTGATAGTCGGTCTCCGTAATGCGACTTGCAGCCAGGTAAACATGGGCTCGATCACTGCCAACAAACTCGCCCCCGCCTGGGATAAGGCCTTCCTTGACGATCCGCTTCCAGCACGCTGGCCTCGTGCGGTGGTAAGCCAAGACAGGGATCTCATCCGCTTTGGCGATGGGCTTCCCAATGAAGGGAGCTTTGGCTTCTGGCCTGAGCGCAGGACTGCAGTACATCAAGGCTGCCGATCTGTAGTTGTCCTGTGCGCTCTTGATCGCGTGCTTGCTTTGGCCAGCAGCGGCACGCATCTTCAGAGGCCATAGTGCCACGCCCTTCTCCTCGAGTCTGTGCCCTTCTCGAATGCCCAAAAACTCGAATCGGTTTTTCTTGTCCTTTGCTGCTATGGCGATCAAGTCTTTGACGGTGAGCGGCGGGGCACTGCGGTGATTCAGGCCGAAACACCTGGCTACTTCATCCAAGTCTGCGTAGCCATCTTCGTCAACCTCAAGTCCCAGGTATTGGTCATGTTGTCGAACGACCTTGGATAGCTGGGTGAGCCAATCCTTGAGGG